GTGGCAGCCAGGGTCAGAGGGCAGAGCTTTTGCTGTAATCAATAAATCCTCTGAAACTTGAGTTCAGGTAGTTTCAGAACTTTATACCTAGTATGTAAGGGGAGGGGCTCAGAGTTCACAGTCTGCAGAAATTCACATAAAAGCAGCTTTTTCTTTCACTATTTTGGGCAAGTTAACCCTTCAGTGATAACACCTGAGAAGGAGAGAGCTTCTTCTTCCCTTTCTTTCCTCCCCCTGCCAGCTGTTACCATGCAGCCCAGTTGGTAATTTATCTTAGAAATGTAGATGTCTCTGTGAAGCTCCAGCTCAAGGCCAGAGGCCTTGATTAAGGATTTGTCTTTTTATCATCACATTTTGTATTTTGTAAGCACACTATACTGGATAAATGTTTGTGAAAAACAAGTAAAGAAGCATTTGGCACCTGGAGTGCTGATTTCTCCCAGGCCAGTGGCCAAGTAAGTTTTACCTACATTGAACTCTTTTGTAGAGACTCTTATGTTGATAGTCCTAAAATCAATTATGGTGAAGATTTCTGGAGAAGCTTATTTATAATTTCCTGTGGAGAGGGGATGCCACTACAGTGTCTTTTACTGAAATGGGGAATACTGGAGGAGAAATGAGTCCATGTTCTGCAGCAAGTTCTGTTGTAGATCAGTTAAAAATGGAAATGTCTTTTAGACATCAGCAGAGATATCAAGTGGGCAATCTGAGATTCTGGGGAAAGGTCAGGACTGGGTAAATCAACGTGAGAGTGTTTGGTAAATCAACGTATGTAGTACTGAAAGTAATAAGATTGAATCAAATTACTCAGGGTGTGAACACGTTGACAGAGAGGTGAAGACAGGTATACTAGGTTATGTTATTGAAGGAAAAATAATCAGTTCTAAGTGCTTTAAAGGACAAGAATATGTTACAAGAATATCAAGAGAAAAGATGTATAACTTTTCCATGTTCACATATGAATAAATGACCAGTGTAACTCTATATCATATTCAACTATAAGAATGGGATCCTAATTAGAGTAAGTTATATTCCATGAATGTGTAAATGTCAAAATACACTCTACTGTCATGTATAACTAAAAAGAACAAATAAAAAATGTCTTGCAAAAAAAGTAAAGTAAATGTTTATCATCTAAGAGAGAGAGAGAGAGAAAGAGAAAAGATGTAGAACTAGGCTTGTCCAGGTCACAAGGGAGAAGGGCTACTGGAATGGATTGCTTACCTAGCACCACATATACCCCAGGTACTGCTAGACACCTACTGCCCTTCTCCAGGACTCTGATATCCTTATTCTAATTCTGAAAACTGAGAGCTCTCCAAATAACTCAGGATAAACTCCCAGCATCAGGGCAGAGGTGGTTCAGAATTGAACTTAATTGATTTAGAGAAAATAATGACTTAAAACACTTGAATTGGAGGAATGGAATTCACATTTTCTTTAAATATATCTTCCCTATTTTATGTTCAAGATTGTACTGAACATATTATGAAATATGATGTTTTCATTTAACAATAAAATGATTATTTTCCTTGTGATTAAGTATTTAACTCATCGGTTTTATTGATTCACATTATTCTGTATTATAGATGAACTGTGAACTTATTTAAACATGATACTTTCCCTCAGGAAGAACAACCTATGTGAGTAACTTCAAATATTTGGCTGTGATAAACTATGGCATGACAAATGCCCTGTAGTAAAATTTGTAAGCTCAAAGTATTTCCTTAGAGGAAATACCTACATGGAAGTTACATATTAAAGGTTATTTTCACATTTTCCTGTATTAAAAAATATTATAACTGCGGTATTTTATACTTATTACATACTAGTTTCAATAATTTTAGAGTGACACTTTATTTTTTGCCAGATTCATTTATAAATTCAAAGTAATTGGGAAATGGTGTGGCATATTTCTCCAAATAATGATTTACTTAAAACAGTCTCTATTTTCCCTTCAGAAAAATGGGTCATGTCAGAATAGTCATACCAAAGCTCTTGTTCAGTCTTAGAGGCTTCTAAGTTCTCACTCATCTGCTAATTTAATTTATTTTTAAGATATATATTAAGAAGCTAGAGAACAACAGGCAGAAGTGGAGACACACTACAGAAGAGAAAGAAGAAATAAAGGAAGAAAAAAATGTTGAGGAAGCAGAAAATACAAAATAAAAGAACCATGAGAGGAGAAAGCCAAGTGGATAGGAGGAAAATGTAACCTTGATCCAAGGTCAACTGGAAAACAGGACTTCAAGGTCAAAGAAGAGCAGGAAGAATTAGGAAGGGGGAGAAACACTGCTCTTGCATTATCCACATGGTGTGGGGATGCTCCCCATTTTTAGAGGTTGCCCCTCTATCCACTCACAGGAGCATCTCATTTGGCAGCACACTTCCTACCACTCCAGTCCTTAAGGCCTGGAATCAGGGTTGAGGGCGTTTAAATCAAGAATGATTTTCACTTGCTGTTGCCACCAGTCCAGGATTTAAGAGATGGGAATATCCTCTTTTCAAATGTTCCTATTTTTTTTTTTTACAAAGCTTTATTGCTTTAGAAACAAATAATATTCTCTAAGATTCATTTGTGAAAATTTCAATATACTTGTAATATGCATATATGTACTTAATGTATTTTTAACTGTTTAGCAGCTAAAAACAGATTTACACAGAAGATCCTAAAAGTATACCATTAACTCAAAAGGACTAAATACCCAGCATAGATGACATCAATCCATCCTGTGATTCTTTCAGTACAAATGATATTTTTTTTCATATTTTATTGCTCACAGTTTAGTAATTTAAAATATTTTGTAAAGCTGAAAGATTATTTAATTTCTGCCTTAAATTATTTATTACATCTAATCTTATTCTTAGGTGCAAATATTGCCTCACCTAGCTTATCTCCAGGTTGTTTTAATGAGAGTAGAATCTATGTTGATTTTTATCCTCAGAGTCTGGCATGAATCTGCCATACAGGTGCTCAATTTTTTTTTATTGAAAAGGTTAATGAATTAATGGAAGGATGAATGAATGAATGAATGAATAAATAAATAAATAAATAAATAAGCAAGCAAGCAAACACAAAAGGCTGAAAACTGGTCTCTTTGACTCCAGGTTTGCATTACTCTTTTTGGTAGACAGAATTCTATATGAATGCCCACCTACAACCAATGACCTGTATCCTTGTATAACTTCTTTCAAGAGTGGGAGAGATCTGTATATGATGAGATATCATTCCCATGATTAATTTATTGATTTTGGGAAATACAAATTATCTATCACCTCATCGATTCAGGTGAACCCTTAAAAGAATGAAGGTTTTCCTGGAGGCAGAGATTCAAATCATAGGGAAAGCAGATGGGGTGGGGCAGGGAGATTCTGTTACTTGTTTTGGAGGATTCTGTTCTGCCATGTTGGGTGAGCCTTGGATGAGTATGAAGGCCATTGCCAAGGAACTGGGAGCATCATCCATGAGCTTAGAACAGGTTTTGATTAATAGGCAGCAAGGAAACAGTTCTCATACTTGAAAGAGAATTAATTTTGTCTCTTATCTAAATGAGCTTAGAATCAGATTCTTTCCAGAGCCTCAGAAGAGACCACACTAGCAACTCCTTGAATGAGAGACCTTGAGCAGAGTCATACCTGCCTCTGACCCATAAAAACTGGATGATAATAACTTTCAGTTGTTTTAAATCCTCAAAGTTCGTGGAATTTTACAAAGCAAGAGAAAATGGATACACCCTTCTATGACATTACATTTCCATAAAGCTGTTCCTCTGTTTTACAGTCATAATAACTTCCCATTGTCTTTATCATACCATTCAATTTAATTAACAAGACTTTTTGAGACCTGTGGGTCCTGATCACCTCCCTAGGCTCATTCCTTGTGAGGCTGATGCTCTCACTCCATTTCAGATATATTAAAATGCTGGGAGCATCTTGAGGACAGCAGCTATCTCACTTCCCTCAGTTGCCTTCACTTCATACCTCAGTTTAAAATCTGATTTGCTGTCAAGCCTTTCATTAGTGTGCCCAGACTGGATGAGGCTGCTGTTCTCCTGGCTCCCAGGGAATCTAGTCCTTCCTCCTCTACAGCTCTCAGCACAGAGGTGTAATTGCCTCCATACCCATCTCTGCTGAGTACACAGCTCTTCTTGAGCACACTGTTTTTATCTCACTCACCCTTTTTTTTCCCCCAGGGTCTGGAACAGTGTTGACTGAGTGAGTGTATAAATTGGAAGACGAACTGTCCAGTGGTACAGAACACAGAAAAGATGAACCATTGTCTGTTCCAACAAAGGGAGACTTGGTTTTGGATACCAGCCTACTCCACCATTAATTACAGGTGTTAGATAATTGAGATCAAAGTCCAGGATGATTAAGATACAGAGCCCAGAGCCCTTTTCTCTAAGGACATCATCATAGTAATTAGATACTCCACCTGTATAGTTATCTTACTAGCTTCAAGGGGAAACTGATGGGCATTCCAAGGGTGGAAGACAGAGCATCAGTGACCCCCTGGGAGTTTTCTCACCAGAGAAACAATTCCCTGTACATTTCCATGGTCAGAATACCTACAAGTCCTTATATCCTCAGGAGCTCTGTGCCTGAGATGATATCAAAACTGATAAGACTCCACACAGAGTTTTCTCATGAAGGATATTGCTACAGCAGCCAGGAATCCTGTGTCTTATCACAGGAGTTTCCCAGCAGTCTGGCATTCCGTGTCTTTGCACAGAAATTTCCTAGCAGCCAGGCATTCTGTGTCTTTGCAAGAAACTTCCTAGTCACCAAGCATGCCACAATTATGAAGTTTATCAGAGACTCCAATCTCAAGCACAGAGCCTCTACATTTCCTAACTGTATCTTTTTCCTCTTGAGGAAAAAGAAACTTACTGGCACTTGGCATGCTGACGCTGAATGTTTGCTGCTTTGAGTTTCGGTTTCTTTTCTTGTCTCCACCCAGTGGCTGTTCCATAACTCAGACAAAATAATCAATCTTCCATTTAATCCTGAGCTGATCCAACTCTCAGCATCAGGTAAGAGGCTTCCAGCCATTTGGTTTCTTAGCTGTGTGAAGAAAACAGCCTGCTTGCTTTACCTTGAGAAGATATCAAGGTAAAATTGCTTCTAACGATTGGATTTTCTCTTTCATTTGCTCTTTTATTTTCATGAAAATTTACACACTGACAACTATAGAGAAGAAAAAATAAACGCTTGTATATTCTTCATACGTTTCTATCGGATTTTAAATATGATTTGCTTTATTAGAATAGATTTTTTTTCCTTAGAAAAACTGTTACATATAAAGTTGAAGTAATCTCTGAATCTTCCTTGTACTATATCTCCTCTTCCCTTCCTTCCTAGAGAGAAACATTATCTAAATTTTGGTGTAAATTATTGTCATGCTTATTTTTATGCTTTTGCTGTGTGTGTGTGTGTGTGTCTAATATTACTTAGTATGCTAATATTTTATAAAAATTGTATTATATTGTTTCTCATTATCAATTTATTTTTTTATTCAAAATTAACTATTCAAGCTTCATTTATGCTGACACGAATAGTGCTAGTTCAATCACTTTGCTGTTACTTTCACTGTGTAAATGTGTCAAAATTCATATGTCCAACTTTCAAATGTCATTATGACCAATAATGGTATGAATATATTTCTCTCAAACTGCATATGTTTATCAGGACAGTGTTAACATTCTGGACTCTTCATATCTTGATCAACAGTTAGTATTGCTGGACTTCTGTTTTGATGTGAAGTGATACCCTGTTTATAGTTGTTTACAGTTTCATATTTTAAGAAAGATTGTTTGGATGACTTCATCTGTGAATTTCCTTTTCATCTACTTTGACTGCTTTTTCTACTATGTTGTTTATGGTTTCCTTATTTCCTTGAAGAGATTTTTTTAATGTATAATGTTTATAGAATAAAGATGTGTCAAAATAAAAAATAAAAAAAAGGACAGGGGATGTGGCTCAGTGGTAAAGCATCCCTGGATGAAATCCCCAGTTAAAAAAAAACAACCAAACAATAACAACCAAAAAAGAAAGAAAAAAGACTAATCAGTTATGTTGACTGGACTTGGCTCCTCCTCCCTTTCCTGCTTGTCCCATTCTTGCTTGTCTGGAGTTGCACATCACTATAATTAATGCCTCTGTTTATGAGACTCCTTTAGCTTTGTTTCCCAGGGGCCCCTGGCTATGAAATTGATCAGTGACAAGGCTGTTTATTTTTGTGTCACTGTAATATTTCATTATAATTTTAGATTATTTAAACTATTAAAAGTAGCTATTTTTTTTCCTGTGAAATATGTGAAATTCAGGATTATCTTATTAGAGATAATAGAAAGAATGTTCTTGGGCACTTGAATGAGTTTGCACTAAATTTGAAGATGAAGTTTGTAGAATATTACATCATTTTCAAGAAGGCTCTAAGCTGACAGTGTGAAATTGCAGCTTTATTCTTTTTGCTCAAGATTGCTGTAGCTATTTGGGGTCTAGTGTGTTTCTACATGAATTTTAGGGTCTTTTCTTCTATTTCCTCTTAACAAATCCCACTTTATCATTAGGAATGATCTTGTTATATGATTTAAATTGAACTTGCTAGTATTTTGTTGAGGCTTTTTGCATATAAGTTCATTCAGAATATAGGCCTGTTCTTTCGCGTAATGGTCTTATCTAACTTTGGTATCAGGACAATACTTAACTTCTAAAATGAATTTAGAAGTATTCCCCGCATTTCAATTTTTTGGAAGATTCTGAGAAAACTTGGTATTCTTTCTTCCTTAAATGTTTGTAGAAAACAGTTAAACAATCTAGTATTAGTCTTTTCTTTGTTGGAAGACTTTTCTATTTTTATTACTGATTCAATCTACTTTCTTGTTTTTGACTATTCATATTTTCTATTTCCTCACGACTCTGTAGATTATATATTTTTAGAAATTTATTCATTTCTCCTATGTTATTTAATTTGTTGATATATAAGTTTTAAAAACTGATTCTATGTATTTCTGTGGTATTGGTCGTAGTTTTCTCTTTTAATTCTGATTTTATTTATTTGAGTCTTGTCTTTTTTTTCCCCCTCAGCCTCTAAAGTTTTGCCAGCTTTGTCTTTAAAAAAAAACACATTTTTTTTTTATATTTTTTAAAATCATTTTTTAATCTCTATGCCACTTGTTTATTCTCTGATCTTTATTATTTCCTTCCATTTGCTAACCTAGATTTTGGGTTGTTCTTGTTTAGAAACCTCTTCCCTGGAAAAAGGCCTTTAATTAGTTATCTCATTCTGTCTTCTTGTATTAGTATTCTATGTTGCATAGCAATTCATCACAAATGTAGAAATACATGGATTATGCAGTCTCCAGGGGTCAGGATGTTTGGAATGGCTAGCTGGTTCCTTTGCAAGGTTGAAGTTGTGGGTAAGAGTCGACCTGCAGCACGGATGGCTGCTATGGAATGGGTTTAGTTTAACATATGTAAGAAGCTGCAGGGAACAGATCAATCAAGACTTTCCAAAAGTAATCTCTGGTTCAAAATTAATAAAAAGGGAGGAAATGTGGGAGAAACAACTCTCGGCTCATAACCAGTGGCTGTGAGCAGCTCAAGTGTGTGAGGAAAGCCTATGCACATACAGGCCTAGCAGACATAACTGCAGGAAGGAGTGCTCTGCTCTGGCTTAGCAGCTGAAGTAAAACCACTTCCTCACAATTGGTTGCCAGGGAAACCGAAGGCAGAGACTTGATGATCTAACCCACCATGGCTTAAGGTGATGAGTGAAGGGACCTGTACACCCAGTAGTGACCCTTCTTGACTTCTCAGACCGCTTGGCAGGCTCCCCTACTTCCCATAGTACAGTTAGTTTTGATCTTGATGATGATTGGCTTCAAGATATTGTACTGCTGGCTTATACAATTATGATTGGTAAACACGCCCTATATAAACTATAAGCTCTTCTGTAATAAACAAGCTTGCTGGCAGCTCCCCACTTGCCTACTTTCACCCAGCTCCTGGTGTCTGTGTCTTGACTCTGCGTCCCTGCCCCCTCCACTGAGTGAAGCCGAGAGGCAACATGCAACATGAAATCAAAGTACCATTTCCATAGAAATTTTAGAATTACCTTATAACTGTCCACAAAATCTCATTAAGAGTTTAACATTGAATCTATTAGTATATGAACACATTATAAGGCCTTCATTTGTTTAAGCTATAAATCTGATTTTGCTTAGTAATATTTTATAGTTTTCTGTGTACAGGCCTTATACATGTTTAAAACATTCCTTTAGTTAGACATATTACTAGATTTATTTATTTTTTTAGTAATGTAAATGGTACTTAAAACGTTTTATGTAAAACTGTGTTGGTACAAGAAATAGGGGTCATTTTAACATATTGGCCTTGTGTTTTAGTCTGTTTTGTGCTATTGAAACATGATACCAGCTGGGCACAGTGGTGTAAGCCTTTAATCCTAGCAGCTCAGAAGACTGAGGCAGGAGGACTGAGAATTCAAAGCCAGCCTCAGCAATTTAGCAAGGTCCTGAGCAACTCAATGAGGCCCTGCCTCTAAATGAAAATTTAAAAAAGGGATGGGGATGTGACTCAGTGCTCTTGGATTCAGTTCCTGGTACCAAAAAAACAAACCAAAACAAAAGAACCAAAAAACCAGAATACCAGGGGCTGGGTAATTTATAAAGAACAGGTATTTATTTCTTACAGTTGTGGAAGCTAGAAAGTCCAAGGTCCTGGAGTCTGCATCTGGCAAGGGCCTTCTCATCATGTCATCCCATGGTAGAAGGTGGAAAGACAAGAGACATTTATGAGAAAGAGCAAGAGAGTGAACCCTGGGCCTACAGTCCTTTTATAATCAGCATTAATACATTCATGGCCTAAAATCCCTCACTAGGCCCACCTCCCTATACTGTTGCATTGAGGATGGAATTTTCAACACATGTTTTTTTTTAGCATTCATTGAAACTGTAGCACCCTTTATTCAGCAGTCTTGTGCCATGGGGTGAATTGGATCTATAATAGCTGCTAATTATCCCCATTTGTTTGGGTCAACTGGTATCTTTTTTCTGCGTTTTTGAAGTAAAAGCTTGTGTCATTTGTTTTCATCCTTTCTTCTTTCTTCTTTTCATCTGTTTAAAGACATATAACTTTATATCATATTCTAGCTCCATTCCATAAATTTTGACAAGGATATTTTTATCGTTTTAATTTCATTAAGATCTGTCTCACTAATGGATTATTTAAAAGTGTATTTTATTTTTTAATGTATGAGTAGCTATATAATTATGATATCTAGCTTATATTCTTATTCAAACTTTAGTGCTTTGACTATTTTGAGATTTGATTGCTTTGGGGGGATCATAGCACCATGTTCATATTTGCTGTATGCTGGCTTTGTTTTTTTCTGGTTCTCTGGCTTTATATAACCTAACCAATTTTGCTATATGCTTTAGTTTTTTGTTTGTTTGTTTGTTTCCTCTTTCATTGTCTTTTGGCCTCAGTGCTTCAGTTTAGAAAATATATGAAATATATATATATATATATATATATATATATATATATATATATATATAGTTAAATGAATTATGTTAATTATTAATTTGTATATTTTTAAATTCAGAATTTCTTTTCTTATTCTTATTTTAAAATTTTACTGTCAATCATACAATCTTTACTTAAAATTATTTGAACACACCAACTATAGTAACTTTTAAATTATAATTATTACCAAGTATTAATTGTACAAATTAATGGGTTTCTTTTAAAAAAATGATTTTATTTTATGTTTTATACAAGTAGAGCATAACTTTTTATTTCTCTGGTCATATATAATGTAGAGTCACACTATTCATGCAATCATACCTATATATAGGGGTAATAATGTCCATCTCAATCCATCATCTTCCCCCACCACACACACCCTCCCCTCCTCTTCCTCCCCTCTGCTCAATCCTAAATTCTTCCATTCTTCCCTTGCCCTCCCCCACCCATTTTGGATCAACATCCACTTATCAGAGAAAACATTTGGCCTTTGTTTTTTTTTGAGATTGGCTTACTTCGCTTAGCATGATATTCTCTAACTCTCCATTTACCTGTAAATGTCA